ATGCATTTATTCTCCAGACTCAGCCATCAAAGTGAGCGCTATGGATGTGATCCTTTATTCATTTCTTGGTGTGTCTCTGATTCTCGTAGCCATATTCTTAAAACATTTTTCCATTTTCAAAAGTTTTTTTTGTCCTGCGGTGCGAGCACAAGGTCCGGCTGCGGCGACCAGGACAAAGGCGACACATACAGCATCCAAATCGGGATTTGGGTACGATCCTCCAACAAACATATGGATGTCATCCAGTTCAACCCAAGGATCAACACTGGTAATGTCACCGCCCGGGGGTTCATCTGTCTCTGCGCCCGGGGGTTCATCTGTCACTGGACTCAGCCTAAACGTGGAACGAAACACTAACGATTTAAACAGTAGTATTACAGTGGAACAAAATACTGACCTTTCAACTGACCTTTCAACTGACCGAACAGACGCCCCTCTCAGCATGTGGAGTAAAGTGAAACTGAAATTATCCAATCCCTCCTCTGATCACCCGTCTCAGCTGCCATCATACCAGATCCTCTCAGAGGAGGCGTCCATGGCCTAGCATTAATTTTTGGCAACCATCACCTCTGAGAACTCCAAAAGGACTCAAACATTTGAAAGTTAACCTTACATCTTACTTATTTACGAAGAAAACTTACACAAATTCTATTTCTTACTGTTAACATGTATTTAAAGTTGATCGATCTCATCAGCCATCTGCGCACCCACAATCAAGTTCACAAATAGCATATACGAAGATTAAAGTGTTCATAGTCGATTTCTACTGACAAACTATATGTAACATGGATATTTCCTGTTTTATAGTTGCACAAATGCAGTTCATTAAACCAGTAAAAAAACAGGAACAAAAAACCCATAGTTGTAATTATGAAGGAACACCTCTACACACAGATGCTCACTAACTCTGGCCGTCAACAAAAACTTTTTTCTTTCCAAAGTCGGACAAGCAACTGTACACAACATTTAAATAGAAAAAAAAAATAATGCTAAAACAATTATTGATCAGTAATAACCAATGAACCTTGATTTAAATGTGGCAATTATGTGTGGTTCCGACGCCAATCTTCTGGAGGTGGCCATCGCATCAATAAAAGTTGGTGCTTCTGACTTCCCCTTTGTCCATCACTGTTAAAGACTTTGGCTTCTATACTGACAATAAACTTACAATGAATCCTCATATCAGTTCTGTGGTCAGAGCTTGTTTCTGTCATCAACGCGCCGTGGGTCAGCTGCGTCCTCTACTCAATAAGAGACCAGCCAATGCCGTGGAAGTCACTCTAATTCAGTCAAGATTGGATTCCTGTAACGGCCGTTTGTGGGGTTTACCGCTAAATCTAATTCAGAGGCTCCAGAAGTTACAAAATACTTCAGAGCGCATTTAATCGCGTATAAAAAATCTGACCATATCACTCTAGTTGTTAAATATTCCCACTGGCTTCCTATGAGTGACCGCATAAACATAACATTTTTTCACTGACGTACAGTTGTACTGAAGCTTTGCACCTCAATATCTGAATATTTACATCCAAACATATATTCTTAAAGAGGCTGCACTTTTCATCACAGTCCCTACTTTGAGTTCCCAGTGTGAATGGTCACGAAAAGAAGTCCTCCGTTGAATGCGCTCTTTTGAAGCTATAGCGCTCCAAATTATGAACAAGTTTGCTTCAGTCCTTGAGGTAATTAAAAATGATTTAAAAATGCATTTAAGATTTGTTTTTTGTTGACTTTGTACCGCGCTTCGAGCCTTTGGGGATGAAGCGTGTTTTTGAAATGAACTTTATTATTATTATTATATATATATTTATATATATATATATATATATATATACATATGTATTTGTGTGGGTGAGTATGGATAAAAGAAAGAGCTAAAGCATCCACAATAACAATTAAAAGTGAACCAATTTAAATACATACCGAGTTTAAAAAAAAATCATTATATGAGTTTTCTATCATTTTTAAATAATTACGTGCAAGTAGATGTGTCACAATAAACTCTATCTGCTTAAATTAAGAATAACTTAAAGTAATATTATTATTATCAATTAGATTTACCTGAAAAATAACGATTGAATACATTTAAGTATTTCACCCCAATTAGAAAGTTAAGATATCCTTTTCTTATCAATTGAATGAGTGTCCATGTATGAATATTATTGATTCCTGAGCGCATTTATCGGGTAAGCTAAAAAAAAAACATCAGATTTTTAAAAAAATCGCATTGTTAATATTGCCAGTTAAATTTAAATTAATGTTATCCAAATTATGTTTACAAACAATATTAAATTTAATTTTTCGCTCGAACTCAAAGAGTAAAAAAATTAAATTAATTTGATAAGATCTAAATTGAAACTGACAAATCACCCGTTGTACATTTCCTTGATGTGATTACCGTGTGTGACAAAATTAATGTTTCATTAGTTGGTTTTTTTCACCTTTCAAAAAATAAAATTTTAGAATATAATTGATTGCTTTTTGAATTGCTAATCAATTTAAGCTTTGTCTCTTAACATTTAATATGTCTTATTTATTTTTCATTCCAAAAAATGAGCCATTAAATTTAAAACGCATTTCATGTCAATTAGTGCAGCGAAACTTCGTAGCCAAATACCAATCACTAATTCATTTACCGCTCATCCAAATCAGAACAAGCGATATGAAGTTTTGATATCAATATCTTAAACCCCAATTAATTTACACACTTGAACTTTGATATAGATTTTAGATTGAAATAAATATCCATTGTCTTTCAATATACAGAAATATGGGTAGAACTCTTTGTTTGCTACCATTTCAACGATGCCTGTTAAAAGGGATCTGCGACTTAAGAATTTTAATAAACTTCAATGGCATACAAACAGTTTATGGTTTCGTATGTAGGGGAGGGGGGGCTACCATCTCATGCATGATTTTAGTGAGTTTAACTTAAAATTATGGGGGGGGGGGGGGGTTGTTGCTTTCTTTTCACCCCAGGCAGCGTAAGACACTCTTCAGATGAAGAGACTGCATTTGATCAATAATTGATTTTCTTGGGTAAACCAGATATCAGAGGGAGAAAATATTGTGTGTTCATTTTCACGTGGATTAAAATATCTTTAAATGCCATTAGGTGCTGCGTTTTCTTTTAAAGATAAACACACGTTTTCCAGATAATAAACATAGTTCAATGATGTTAACACACCGTGGGTAAATTTACATAAGTAAACCCATTACTCAAAACTATCAAAACCCAATCATTATACACACGAAAAAAATTAATCTTAAATTATAGAGCTATATTTTTTGTTCCTTTACAGTTCATGGAGTACACAAAGATGGAATAATATTTACTTTCAAAATATGAACATATATTTTTGTTTCCACTTTGTGAACAGTAAAGTGGGTATACATTTATTGTAAGCCATGAATATTTATTTAGAAAAACACTCAAGGCTTTTACGGACCTGAAAATGGGTTAAGAGATTCTTATTTAGCTAAAAAAATTTGAGTATACCTATTGCTAAAAAAATGTTGGTTTATGGAAACTAGTTGATGCAATTTTTCTTAAAACCAAGCACAGGCAGGTTTTACTAATTTTTTCACAGATACAGTTCAGGAGGAATGCTAAAGAAAGGGCACCTTGTTGGTGGAGACAAACCAATATGTTTGTATTAAACAATGCATTGTAAATATTAAAAAAATACTTTTCAAGTGTGAAAGAAAGCGAGGAGGTAATTTGTATGAAGTTATCTCAAAACCCAATCATTTTACAAACATGAACATCTCATTTGAAAAGCGGAGACAGATTTTCTTTTTACTTCTCGGTTCAGTTGCGTTAACAAATCTGGGTTAAGATTTTCTTTTAAAATATAAATATATATGTGTATCCCCTCATTGGAAAAAATAAAATTTATTGGAAAGGGGTGTACATTTGTTTGGATTAGTTTTATCATGAACTATTTCCTGAATATATATTCAAAAGCGTGGGATATGTTCACACTTTAAAGAAAATTGATTTACGCACAAATTTGATTGTTAGATGATGAGACTTAATTGATTTACGTACAAATTTGATTGTTAGATGATGAGACTTAATTGATTTACGTACAAATTTGATTGTTAGATGATGAGACTTAATTGATTTACGTACAAATTTGATTGTTAGATGATGAGACTTAATTGATTTACGTACAAATTTGATTGTTAGATGATGAGACTTCACAAAGAAGAATATATCGCAAAATGCCTTCCTTTATTATGCCCGATAGAATTGGGTCAGATCATCTAGTATCAATGTTTTTAGTTTGATTGATATTACATACAGATTCTTTAAAAGCTGTAGGTTACATGTATAGTTAGACGTCAGTGAACCGCTAGAGAAAGGTTTAAGAACAAAAACCCTGTAGCTTATTTTTACCATTTCTTCCTATTTTGTAATAATACCTAACAAGGAAACGTCATCACCCCCCCCTCCTCATGTTTTCTCACTTCCTGCTTATTTCCAATGCACATTTGTGTTCTTTCAAATCATTAAGAAATATCATCTTACACTGCTGAATCACTCTTACTTTGGCCCCAAATCGATGGGTCTCTGCTATTCACAGGTTTCATTACAGTGTTTGATGACTAACGAGCATACCTTATTTAAACTTCTCATCCATCGCCCCTGATTTGACAATATGTTTTCAAGCCTCTGGCGATCTAAGTTTTTAAAAATATGGAACAGGTACAAAAATAATTGGAATTCACAAATAAATTAATAGACATTTGTATGTAGAGGAGATATTTAACGGTACTCTTTACTTCGTACGCTGAAGCGCTTTTAGTTGCGTATAAAACTTAATATAAGAAATTTAATTAGCCCAATATTTCTTATTGTGAATTTTTTTTTTTTTTAATTTGAAGGAAGCGGTGGTTGTAAAAAAATGTAAGCACGCCGCTGTTGGTAGGGATGTGTGTGCTAAATATAGCCTTTGAAATACCCAGTGTGCAGCTGAAATAACAGGATTGCAAAATGTCGTGATTCAAAAGATAACACAGTTGTGTTAGTCTCTATCTTTCTTTACAAACACAAGTCCGCCATTGATTCGGGTTACTGTTGAGTTATAAGCCCAGGAAATAATACACAGGTGTAAGCCTAGGAAATACACAGGTGTAAGCTTAGAAAATACATAGGTGTAAGTTCAGGAAATACACAGGTGTAAGCTTAGGAAATACACAGGTGTAAGCTTAGTATATACACAGGTGTAAGCCCAGGAAATATACAGGTGTAAGCCCAGGAAATACACAGGTGTAAGCCAAGGAAATACACAGGTAAGTTTGTCATGATTTAGAGGATCTTACATCTCGTGAGTTGTTAGTGACGTGTTCAGAACACAAAAGAATCGGCTTAATCTTCATGTGAATAAAGTTATGGAAACTGGCCTGTGGTCAATTCATGGACAACTGGTCTGTGGTCAATTCATGGACAACTGGTCTGTGGTCAATTCATGGACAACTGGTCTGTGGTCAATTCATTGACAACTGGTCTGTGGTTAATTCATGGACAACTGGTCTGTGCTCAATGCATGGACAACTGGCCTGTGGTCAAGTCATGGACAACTGGTCTGTGGTCAATTCATGAACAACTGGTCTGTGGTCAATTCATGGACAACTGGTATGTGGTCAATTCATGGACAACTGGTCTGTGGTCAAGTCATGGACAAATGGTCTGTGGTCAATTCATGAACAACTAGTCCTTAGTTAAGTCATGAACAACTCGTTTGGGGTCATTCATGGACTACTAGCCTGTGTTCAATTCATGGACAACTGGTCTGTGGACAATTCATGAAAAACTAGTCCTTGGTTAAGTCATGGACAACTAGTCTAAGTCAATTCATAGACAATTGATCTTTGGTTACAAAAATTAGACTGCTATTTTACTAATTGGGACCACGAATTAAGAGTTGACCAAATTAATTTTACTGTATAAAATAATCAACAACTTTAAGAAAGTACTATTCGATTTTTAATCGAGCTTTAAATGTTTGTTTTTATAATGATCCTGGGCTTAGGGCTGATTTCGGCAAATTCCTACCAATAATGTTAAGTCAACATACTAGAATTGAGACACGTATTGGATTGGGTCGCGACTTAGTAGTTCGCTGATGAAGAGTTTAATAAGGTGTATGAACAAGTAGATACATTTTGTTTTCCTCTACCCACAAGTCAAAGAAGATACAGATGCAAAGAATTTTTTGAATACTTGAAATATTATTGAATAGTTTTCTCATTTTGGCTTGAACTTGGTTTATCTCGGTCCTTTAGTTTACCTTAATTTTCTTTATCTGTCTCTTAGTTGAACCTTAATTTGTTTATCTGTCATTTAGTTTAAACTTACTTTGATTATCTATAATTTAGTTTAAACTAACTTTGTTTATTTGTCATTTAGTTTCAACTAACTTTGTTTATTTAAAATTTAGTTTAACCTAACTTTGTTTATATGCAATTTAGTTTACATAACTTTGTTTATATGTAAAGTAGTGTACCTATCTTTGTTTATATGTAATTTATATTAACCTACCTTTGTTTATATGTAATTTATATTAACCTAACTTTGTTTATATGTAATTTATATTAACCTACCTTTGTTTATATGTAATTTATATTAACCTAACTTTGTTTATATGTAATTTATATTAACCTAACTTTGTTTATATTTAATTTAGTTTACCTAACTTTTTTATCTGTCATTTAGTTTAACCAAACTTTGTTTATCTGTCATTTAGTTTAAACTAACTTTGTTTATCTGTCATTTAGTTTCTCCAAAATTTGTTTATCTGACAATTAGTTTCAACAAACTTTTTTATCTGTCATTTAGTTTCACCAAATTGTGTTTATCTGTCATTAAGTTTCACAAAATTTTGTTTATCTGTCACTTAGTTTCACCAAATTTTGTTTATCTGTCATTTAGTTTCACCAAATTTTGTTTATCTGTCATTTAGTTTCACCAAATTTTGTTTATCTGTCATTTAGTTTCAAAAACTTTGTTTATCTGCCATTTAGTTTCACCAAATTTTGTTTATCTGTCATTTAGTTTCACCAAATTTTGTTTATCTGCCATTTAGTTTCACCAAATTTTGTTTATCTGTCATTTAATTTCACCAAATTTTGTTTATCTGTCATTTAGTTTCACCAAACTATGTTTATCTGTCATTTAGTTTCACCAAACTTTGTTTATCAGCCATTTAGTTTCACCAAATTTTTTTATCTGCCATTTAGTTTCACCAAACTTTGTTTATCTGTCATTTAGTTTCACCAAACTTTGTTTATCTGTCATTTAGTTTCACCAAATTTTGTTTATCTGTCATTTAGTTTCACCAAATTTTATTTATCTGTCATTTAGTTTCACCAAACTTTGTTTATCTGTCATTTAGTTTCACCAAACTTTGTTTATCAGCCATTTAGTTTCACAAATTTTGTTTTTCTGTCATTTATTTTCACCAATTTTTGTTGATCTGTCATTTAGTTTCACCAAATTTTGTTTATCTGTCATTTAGTTTCACCAAATTTTGTTTATCTGTCATTTAGTTTCACCAAACTTTGTTTATCTGTCATTTAGTTTCACCAAACTTTGTTTATCTGCCATTTAGTTTCACCAAATTTTGTTTATCTGTCATTTAGTTTCACCAAACTTTGTTTATCTGTCATTTAGTTTCACCAAACTTTGTTTATCTGTCATTTAGTTTCACCAAACTTTGTTTATCTGCCATTTAGTTTCACCAAATTTTGTTTATCTGTCATTTAGTTTCACCAAACTTTGTTTATCTGTCATTTATTTTCACCAAACTTTGTTTATCTGTCATTTAGTTTCACCAAATTTTGTTTATCTGTCATTTAGTTTCACCAAACTTTGTTTATCTGTCATTTATATTCACCAAATTTTGTTTATCTGACATTTAGTTTCACCAAATTTTGTTTATCTGTCATTTAATTTCACCAAATTTTGTTTATCTGTCATTTAGTTTCACCAAATTTTGTTTATCTGCCATTTAGTTTCACCAAATTTTGTTTATCTGCCATTTAGTTTCACCAAATTTTGTTTATCTGTCATTTAGTTTCACCAAATTTTAATTATCTGTCATTTAGTTTCACCAAACTTTGTTTATCTCTCATTTAGTCTCACCAAACTTTGTTTATCTGCCATTTAGTTTCACCAAATTTTGTATATCTGTCAATTAGTTTCAACAAACTTTTTTATCTGTCATTTAGTTTCACCAAATTTTGTTTATCTGTCATTTAGTTTCACCAAATTTTGTTTATCTGCCATTTAGTTTCACCCAATTTTGTTTATCTGTAATTTAGTTTCACCAAATTTTGTTTATCTGCCATTTAGTTTCACCAAATTTTGTTTATCTGTCATTTAGTTTCACCAAATTTTGTTTATCTGTCATTTAGTTTCACCAAATTTTGTTTATCTGTCATTTAGTTTCACCAAATTTTGTTTATCTGTCATTTAGTTTCACCAAATTTTGTTTATCTGTCATTTAGTTTCACCAAATTTTGTTTATCTGTCATTTAGTTTCACCAAATTTTGTTTATCTGTCATTTAGTTTCACCAAATTTTGTTTATCTGTCATTTAGTTTCACCAAATTTTGTTTATCTGTCATTTAGTTTCACCAAATTTTGTTTATCTGTCATTTAGTTTCACCAAATTTTGTTTATCTGTCATTTAGTTTCACCAAATTTTGTTTATCTGTCATTTAGTTTCACCAAATTTTGTTTATCTGTCATTTAGTTTCACCAAATTTTGTTTATCTGTCATTTAGTTTCACCAAATTTTGTTTATCTGTCATTTAGTTTCACCAAATTTTGTTTATCTGTCATTTAGTTTCACCAAATTTTGTTTATCTGTCATTTAGTTTCACCAAATTTTGTTTATCTGTCATTTAGTTTCACCAAATTTTGTTTATCTGTCATTTAGTTTCACCAAATTTTGTTTATCTGTCATTTAGTTTCACCAAATTTTGTTTATCTGTCATTTAGTTTCACCAAATTTTGTTTATCTGTCATTTAGTTTCACCAAATTTTGTTTATCTGTCATTTAGTTTCACCAAATTTTATTTATCTGTCATTTAGTTTCACCAAACTTTGTTTATCTGTCATTTAGTTTCACCAAACTTTGTTTATCAGCCATTTAGTTTCACAAATTTTGTTTATTTGTCATTTAGTTTCACCAAATTTTGTTTATCTGTCATTTAGTTTCACCAAATTTTGTTTATCTGTCATTTAGTTTCACCAAATTTTGTTTATCTGACACTTAGTTTCACCAAATTTTGTTTATCTGTCATTTAGTTTCACCAAACTTTGTTTATCTGTCATTTAGTTTCACCAAATTTTGTTTATCTGTCATTTAGTTTCAAAAACTTTGTTTATGTCATTTAGTTTCACCAAATTTTGTTTATCTGTCACTTAGTTTCACCAAATTTTGTTTATCTGCCTTTTAGTTTCACCAAATTTTGTTTATCTGTCATTTAGTTTCATCAAACTTTGTTTATCTGTCATTTAGTTTCACCAAACTTTGTTTATCTGCCATTTAGTGTCACCAAATTTTGTTTATCTGTCATTTAGTTTCACCAAACTTTGTTTATCTGTCATTTAATTTCACCAAACTTTGTTTATCTGTCATTTAGTTTCACCAAACTTTGTTTATCTCTCATTTAGTCTCACCAAACTTTGTTTATCTGCCATTTAGTTTCAGCAAATTTTGTTTATAGTTCATTTAGTTTCACCAAACTTTGTTTATCTGTCATTTATATTCACCAAATTTTGTTTATCTGTCAATTAGTTTCAACAAACTTTTTTATCTGTCATTTAGTTTCACCTAATTTTATTTATCTGTCATTTAGTTTCACCAAATTTTGTTTATCTGTCATTTAGTTTCACCAAATTTTGTTTATCTGTCATTTAGTTTCACCAAATTTTGTTTATCTGCCATTTAGTTTCACCAAATTTTGTTTATCTGTCATTTAGTTTCACCAAATTTTGTTTATCTGTCATTTAATTTCACCAAACTATGTTTATCTGTCATTTAGTTTCACCAAATTTTGTTTATCAGCCATTTAGTTTCACCAAATTTTGTTTATCTGCCATTTAGTTTCACCAAACTTTGTTTATCTGTCATTTAGTTTCACCAAACTTTGTTTATCTGTCATTTAGTTTCACCAAATTTTGTTTATCTGTCATTTAGTTTCACCAAACTTTGTTTATCAGCCATTTAGTTTCACAAATTTTGTTTATCTGCCATTTAGTTTCACCAAATTTTGTTTATCTGTCATTTAGTTTCACCAAATTTTGTTTATCTGTCACTTAGTTTCACCAAACTTTGTTTATCTATCATTTAGTTTCACCAAACTTTGTTGATCTGTCAATTAGTTTCACCAAACTTTTTTATCTGTCATTTAGTTTCACCAAACTTTGTTTATCTGTCAATTAGTTTCACCAAATTTTTTTATCTGTCATTTAGTTTCACCAAACTTTGTTTATCTGTCATTTAGTTTTACCAAACTTTGTTGATCTGTCATTTAGTGTCACCAAACTTTGTTGATCTGCCATTTAGTTTCACCAAACTTTGTTTATCTGTCATTTAGTTTCACCAAACTTTGTTGATCTGTCAATTAGTTTCAACAAACTTTTTTATGTCATTTAGTTTCACCAAACTTTGTTTATCTGTCATTTAGTTTCACCAAACTTTGTTTATCTGTCATTTAGTTTAAGCAAACATTGTTTATTTGTATTTTAGTTTTAACAAACATTGCTTATCTGCCACTTAGTTTCACGTTATCATTTTTCTGAGAAAGACGTTTTTACTCAGAAACAAAAATGAAATTTGTGAGTGGCGTGACAAATGTGGGGAATGGCGGGGGTTGGGGGGCGTTGAGGCAGACTACTATCGACGATGATTCTCACACTTACTACAGGAGATTTTGTGATCAATAATAGTGGCCCGTGTGGGGGGAGGGTGGGGGTGGGGGTAGGGGGTCTTAGTAAGATGGAAACTTTCTTACAAAAATAAAATATGGACGATGCATCATATCACTGCTACTTTACATATATGGTCTATATTTCAAATGAAGTCTATCTACTTTACATATATAGTCTATATTTCATATGTAGTCGATCTACTTTTAATATGTAATCTATCTACTTACATATATAGTCTTTATTATTTACATAATAATTTAGTCTAGTAAACGGAGGCTATGTTACAGTATGTTGATAACATAATGATAGACAGTTGCGTAACTAGGGTGGCGGTAAATTCCTGGTGTCTCTGCCACCCCCCGCCCCTCTTCTGTACTTGCACCAAGTAAAAAATAATCAGTTCACACAGAACCGCTTATCTTACAAAATAGCTGATACCATTGTTTGTAAAAGTAAGTCCTAAAGGAACGAAAGACATAAGAGGAAACATGGAAAGAATGTCAACCGGTGCAGCCTTACTCCATTAGTGACGCCCGAGATAATAAAGTATTTCTTTTGCAAAATAGCTGTTCCCACACATGAATTGATATCTAACATAGATGGTTTGGACGAGTTTCAACAGAATCCCTTTAAATAATTGGTTTGGTTCCCTGTTTTAACAAGATCACCTTCACGTTCACATTTACGAGGTGTGCTACTTCTTCAATCAAACGTTACAAAGAAATGTCTACATGTTGGTTATTGTCTCATAAAACTATGAATTAAATTTTGTTTGAAAGAAAGCAGACATGCTATATGCTGTTTGAAAGAAAGCAGACATGCTATATGCTGTCTCAAAGAAAGCAGACATGCTATATGCTGTTTGAAAGAAAGCAGATAGGCTATATGCTGTTTGAAAGAAAGCAAACATGCTATATGTTGTTTAAAAGAAAGCAGACATTCTATATGCAGTTTGAAAGAAATCAGAAATGCTATATGTTGTTTGAAAGAAAGCAGATAGGCTATATGCTGTTTGAAAGAAAGCAGACATGCTATATGCTGTTTGAAAGAAAGCAGACATGCTATATGCTGTTTGAAAGAAAGCAGACATGCTATATGCTGTCTGAAAGAAAGCAGATATGCTATATGATGTTTGAAAGAAAGCAGACATGCTATATGCTGTTTGAAAGAAAGCAGGCATGCTATATGCTGTTTGAAAGAAAGCAGACTTGCTATATGCTGTTTGAAAGAAATCAGACATGCTATATGTTGTTTGAAAGAAAGCAGACATTCTATATGCAGTTTGAAAGAAATCAGACATGCTATATGCTGTTTGAAAGAAATCAGACATGCTATATGTTGTTTGAAAGAAAGCAGACATTCTATATGCAGTTTGAAAGAAATCAGACATGCTATATGTTGTTTGAAAGAAAGGAGATATGCTATATGCTGTTTGAAAGAAAGCAGACATGCTATATGCTGTTTGAAAGAAAGCAGACATGCTATATGCTGTTTGAAAGAAAGCAGACATGCTATATGCTGTTTGAAAGAAAGCAGACATGCTATATGCTGTTTGAAAGAAAGCAGACATGCTATATGCTGTTTGAAAGAAAGCAGACATGCTATATGTTTTTTGAAAGAAAGCAGACGTGCTATATGCTGTTTGAAAGAAAGCAGACATGCTATATGCTGTTTGAAAGAAAGCAGACATGCTATATGCTGTTTGAAAGAAATCAGACATGCTTTATGTTGTTTGAAAGAAAGCAGACATGCTGTGTGCTGTTTTACAACTCTAACAAGTAGGCTTGGCAATACCAAATACTTGTATAGGAAATAAGTTGGTTATCATAAGGATGTTATCTACACACCTTTGACACTGCGTGTTTGATGATACGGCACTAAATATATGCATGTGTCATCAAATACTGCCGACAGTCCCTTATCAAAGCTGAGATTAAAGAGTCTATTCGGTTGGTTTAAATGTTTTTTATCTTTTCGCGCGTTCACAATATTTACAAATAGATAAACTTTACCTGGATCGAATTGTTTACTCTGGGAATCTTGTTCTACAAACTCCATTAGCGAGAGTGGAGAGGTGGCCAAGTGGTATATTAGGAAACAGGCGCATATAACGGAGGGGGGGAGGGAATAAAATATAAAACTGACCTGATTTTTGAATTTTCATGACGTAATAACTCATTTGGTCACAAAGATTATCTATACAATTTGGAATAATGCCGACCTTGAAAAATGCATACATTGGAGAGCAGCTTAAGATATGTCTCTATGATCAACTCAAAGATTAGTTGCTAACAAATTTTTAAAAAATATTGAACTATCACAATTCATTCATCTGCAAATATGAAAACACATTTTAATTTCAACTCAAAGCAACGTTGCCCGCTGTCAATCAGTACACCAACATTTTTATTTTCAACTCAAAGCGGGGTTGCCCACTGACCATCAGTACACCAACATTTCATTTCAACTTGACACAAAAGACAAGTCCATTAGCGTCTCTAATGTGACACAAATTTACGTGGCCATGGACGTATATAATTTGACCCTAAATAAAGTGTACATGGACGTCCATAATTTGAACCAAAGAACGTGGCCATGAACGTCCATAATTTGGCACCAAATGGACTGGCCATAAACGACCTTAAAACGATTAGAACGGCCATAAAAAAGAGAGATGTCTTTAGAGCTTTTAAAGCGAAACAAAAAAATGCCTTTTTAAAATTATTTTTCAACATTTTCATTTTTTAAATTATTTTTTAATATTATATAAAAACTTCTATGATGATCACAGGATCAATTAAAATCTGATCCAAGCGCCATTTCATGAACTAACTCTTTGTAAAGGACATTACTTCATACGTCACAGCGCCCCGTGTTGAGTCTATCTTTTGACTAATAATGTTTAATTTTTCTCTCGCTCAATTCCCGACCAAACACAAACAAACTCGCGCCATCTCAAAAACCTTTTCACATCCCAAAAACTTTCCTTGGACGAACAATATCTCCGGATCCAGGCATTTCCCGTGGCCGAAATGAATTTCTTCCACACTGAATACTCTCAGAAGCACGTCTAAACAAAAAAGTTTCACAGTCTCCTTCACAATTACTGACATCTCGCCACGTATTACAAGCTACATCGCATTACTACGATATCGATCACATAATATACGTCATCAGAGTATTTTACGAGATCTTCAGCCAATTGTTTTCAATAATCTCCTAGAAACTAATGCTGGTGCTATGGTACTGACCAAAACATCAGCAAATTAATATTTAATTCATTTGACGATTGCTCCAGACAAACATTGGGCGAAAGTAATATGAAAAAAGTTTGTAAATGTCACTGTTTTCAAATTAGGCCAAGAGTATAGACTCGTTTGTTGTTGAAAAAAATATATGTTTTATAAATGGTTATATTAATAGACTAATCTAATTGAATGCTGACGTGGCGTGGGGTACATGGCATGAATTTGGTGGGGTAAATGAGTTGGGTGGGGCGTGATACAATAACTGGTTTGGGGCTGTACATGACATGAATTAGGTGTGGCACATGACTAAGGTGGGGTGTGGTACATGATCTGGTTGGGATGTGGTACATTAACTAGTTTAGGGTAATACATGACATGGATGTGTGTGGTACATGACATGGATATGGTGTGCCCCAGGACGTGGGTGGGATTTAGTATATGACACAAGACGGATGGCCTCCATCACATGAGCAGGGTGTTGTACAAGCTCATTTCATTTAATGAAAATTATGTCAACGTTTTAACACCAAAGATGATACTTGATGTGTTTCAGACCAGTGGCTAAATGTACATCCTAGGACTTTCACTGTCAGCCTTCTTTGCTATTTGTCTAGGACTCAATGATGGTAAGAAGTCTTTATAAGTTTAGGTCTGCGATTTAGTGATGGAATGATGTCTGTATTAGTCTATGTCTAGGACTTACTGATGGTATGATGCATGTGTAAGTCTATGTCTAAAACTCAGTCATGGAAATATGTCTAATAAATTCATGTCTGGGATTAAGTGATGGTATGATGTTTGTATTGGTCTATGTCTGTAATTTAGTGATGGTAGAATGTCTGTATAAGTTCGTGTTTAAGACTTAGAGATGGTAAGATTTCTGTATACGTCTATGTCTAAGACTCAGTGATGGCATGATGTCTGTATAAGTATATGTCTGTAATTTAGTGATGGTAAGATGTCTGAATAAGTCTATGTCTATGAATTAGTGATGGTAAAATATCTGTATAAGTTTCCAGACCACCAAGTTAGTTGATAAATAACAACGGGAAAGACTTTTGAAAAGTCAGGAAAAGCTTTGAAAATAAAACAACAATCACACATTTAGTATCGCAAACTCATCTCTCCTATCAAATGCAACATCAGGGATTAACCACCTCACGGCAAATGCAACTCAACAATCAGGGGGTAAACAGCTCAAGACAATTGCAGTTCAACAATCATGGGGTAACCAGCTCACTGCAAATGTAGTTCAACAATCAGATGGTATCCAGCTAATTGGACATGCAGTTAACAATCAACCTTTGAAAATAAAAATAGATGTAACGTTTAGCTGTAAAACCCCCAAACATTTAAATATGACCTGATGGCAGATTTAATGAATTCAGTCATTAAAAACATTCAATAATTTCATTTTTTTCAATCATTAAATATATTCAGTCATTTAATGAATCCAATCTGTTAATTTATTCATTCTTTAATGAATTCCATGAAAAAATGTATTGGATCATAGAATGTATTTTTTCAATTAACGTATTCAATCAATTAATCAATTAATGAATTGAATTGTTTAATGATTTAATAGTTCAATTATTAAATGAATTCAATAATTTAATGTATTCAATCATGTAAGTATTTTAATCATTTAATTAATGCATTCAATTATATAAGGAAAGACCAGGTCAACATGCATCTATGAGCTCAACAGTCCATCAAATAGAACTCCCCCTATATTTACATTTTAAAGTATACGAGAAGGTTGTTTATAGCCTGGATATAGACACCTTGAGGAAGCTCAATCGGCACTATGGAGTACCATGAAAACTAGTCAGAAACATTCAGAGTCCCTACGAAGAAAAAACATGCAGTGTTGTACACGAAAGTAGACTCACAGATGATTTCAACGTAGAAACTGGAGATAGACAAGGATGTCTCTTGTTCCCATTCCTATTCATCCTCACCATTGACTGGATAATGAAAAATCCACCGACAAACAGGGGATTGGGACACAGTGGACACTCAGGGAACAACTGAATGACCTATAGGGACACAGTGGACACTCAGGGAACAACTGAATGACCTAGACTCTGCAGACGACATTGCACTTCTGTCCCACAACCAGCAAAAAATACAGGAAGAGACAAAAGACGTAGCCATCATTTTAGCACTGCTCGGACTCTATATAAATAAAACAAAGACGAAGATCATGAAGATAAACTCAGCCAACCAAGAGCATATCTCTCTGGCAGAAAAGGCACTGGAAGAAGTGGAGTTCTTCATAGACTTAGGCGGCACCCTCGACTTAGGCGGCACCATCGACTTAGAAGGCCGATCCAACGTGGATGTAATAGTTAGAATTTGAAAAGCTAGAACGGCATTTTGTGCTATTAAAGAAAATATGGGAGTCGAATGAGCTGAAGCTGCAAACCAAAACCAGAATCTTTCAAACTAATGTCAAAACAGTTCTAATATATGGAGCAGAAACTTTGTAAAATAAAGCGAGCATTACGGAGAAAGTGCATACTATCATAGCACACGCCCTAGGAACATAGTGGCTATCAAACGGCCAAATAGCATCACCTACAAAGACCTCCTAGAAAGGACATACCAGATGCCCATTAATCAAGGCATCATAAAGAAAAGATGGAGGTGGGTTTGACATACTCTCCGAAAAACCCAAGATAGCATCACCATACAATCCCTAACATGGAATCCACAAAGAGAAGGAAAGAGGTGAAGGCCTAAGAATACATGGAGACAAAAGTTAGAGGTAGAAACTCAAAATATAACATACACCTGGACGCAATTGGAAAGGCAAGCACAGCACCGTGATGAATGGAAAATTATTGTGGACCGCCTATTCCCCAGGCGGAGTAAAAAGAAGAAAAAATATGAAATAATGCATTAAATCATTAAATGTATTTAAATAATTCCATACTTTAATTTGTTCAATCATTTAATTTATTATATTATTTAATAAGCACAATCTTTTAGTGTACTCAATTATGTGTGTATATTTTGTAATATTTCCTTTTTCTTTAATTTGTTATCAGTTCAAACTTGGAAGCACGTGAACTTGAGAGCCGGTCAGCAAGTAAGGCTCGTGTCCACTCCTGTCAATGTCTCCTCCAAAATATCATGGTACGTCACCATTGCTGGCGTGGAGCATGGGGCCGGAGTCTGTCAGCTAGAGATGACTCCCGACAACAACGTCACAGCTGGCGGCAGTAACTACACGTGTATTAACACATTGGCTCACTTGGACGGGATAGTAAGCATCCAGAAGGGTGAGTTTGTGGTCATTGTCATAATCCGGCATGGTAAAGGTCTTGTCGTTGTCCTATGTCCACCATCGTCAATGTCCGGTTTGTGTTCTATGCACAGCCTTTTAAATGACCAGTCACTGAATTCACTGGCACACACAAAGAAGAAAAAAACACCTACCCACCATATGTGTGAAATTTAAATGAAGTGTAGAATCTAAAGTAAAATAAAACAGCATAATATAATTATTATTATAATGGGTTTTATATAGCGTGGTACCACAGCCTAGGGCTGGGCTCGCGACATATAATGTATATATATTTAACAAACATAATCAAAAACTTAAAAAAATTATTTAAACTACATAAAGTAAATAAAACAAACCAAATGCATCTTTAAAACTATTTATATTTCAAGGCATGCACGACATCCAGAAGATCGTTTTTCTGTCAGAATCAAAATTTCCTTCAGAAAAAATAACTTAAAGAAATATCTATATAAGAATGAGCTAGGGTGACATAACGCCAAGAGGGGGATATGATTTAAGTACGTTCGGATTCCTAAAAACTATCATTGTTATTTTCTATTATTTTACGGAAATCGAATAAATTTAAATCCAAAAAAAATTATTATAAGTTCGCATTTATTTTAGTAAAGGTTTAAGTATTATTATTAAAAATTACAAATACATTTAAAGTATCAACTAAGGAACTATTTTAAGCATTTTATATGTGTTTGAAAGTTATGGAAAAAAAAATGAAAAAAAAATAATGATCAAAGAATGACATCGTAATCACATTTATCAAGGAAACCCTAACATCAATCGTTTTTAGTGCGTCTTTTAGTGCATTGTTAACGTTGCCAATTTAAATTAAAATTAATGTTCTCTAAATAATCATGCAAATGACGACATAGCGCTAAATAGTCTATTTCGCCAAACTCTTAGGTTTCTTTAAATTTAATAACCGCGCGTGACAAACTGATTATGTATTTTCCCTTCTAAAAAGTAAAATTAATAAATACAATTGATTGCTTTTAAAATTGTTAATAAAACACACACACATTTTTTATTTGTATATTTTAACATTTAAAAAATTGTGCCTTTTTTACTCCAAAAATATACTTTTATTAAATTTATAACGTAATAAAAATTTAACTGTAAATATAATTATAATAAGAAAATGCAGTTTTAGCCAATCAGTGCAACGCTACTCCATAGCCAAATGGCATTCACTAATCCACTTATACCTCATAGAAATAAGAACGAACCATATGAAGTGCAAAATATGTTAGTTTGGGTTTGGAAGGGACAACAATCCGGTGAAAGATTTTCTAAATTTATTTAAATCTGGGTGGGGGACGGGTTGGTCACTTTGCCCCAGGCAGCACAAGATACGTCTCAAAATAAAGGAATGAATTTGATAAATAATTAACCTTCTTAGGTACATTCATATCGGAAATAGGAAATAGGATGTGTACATTTTTACATGGATGACAATATATTTAAATCCTATGGTATTACATTTGTGAAAAAGAGAGATGCTACATTCTCTTTTTACTAATATGTGTACGTTCATTTTGTCCAAGGCAGCAAAAGAAACGTCTCAAATAATGGGATTAAAAAAAGAGATGTTAAATTCTCTTTTTACAAATAAACATTTGTTTACCAATTAAGAAAATCAATGGCGTTAACAAATCTTGGGTACATTCACATAACTATATCCATTAATATCAAAACCAATCATTTTACACGCTTGAAAATTAAATTTTGGGGTAATTTTTCATTTTTTTAAAAATGAAAATATATTTTGTTGTTACTTTGCAAAAAGTAAAGAGATGTGTATTTTTCTGAGATTAACAATTTAATTTTTTTTTTAAAGACGGTCAAATGTGATATAAGCATGAAAAGAAGTTGCAAGATTCTTCTTAGAAAAAGAATTCTTTGTTTTTACGATTTTCTAATAATGTATAATTTTAAAAAAAGGCAAATATGGGTTTAAATTTTTGATGAAGATATCAATGTATATCAAATTCCTGTAATACAAAATATATTTATAACATATCAATTTTTTGTTGTAAGTTTATGATTATTTTAAAAAAATGTAATTCAATGGCACGAAAAGGGGTAAATCTAAAGTTGTTCTCTAGCGTAGTAATTGTCCCTCAATTAATTTCTTTAGTGACAAAAGTGATATAATTATTGATAATTTAGACTGGGTAATTTAAGCTCATGTTTAGAGGCGGAAAGTAGTTTAGGGGCGTGAAAAGGTGTAGGGTACGCGTATCATATATAGCAGATAAACACTTCTCAAAACTTAATGATGTTAGAAACGTAAATATCATTACATCTTAAAAGTTATGAATTGGGATGAGTTTTTGCAAAAGCAGTTAGAAATTATCGCAAATGAAAATGACCGACCATTATTATCCGTCATTGATTCTAGTTTATAAATATATATTATCTTAACTATATTTCGATCGTTTAATGTATTCAATCGTTTTATTAATTCAATCATTTAATGTATTTAATAATTTAATTAAATGTAATCATTTAATTTAGTCAATCATTTCATGCATTCAATCAATTAATGATTTCAATATATATATATAAATGTATTCAATCGTTTTATTAATTCAATCATTTAATGTATTTAATAATTTAATTAAATGTAATCATTTAATTTAGTCAATCATTTCATGCATTCAATCAATTAATGATTTCAATATATATATATATATATATATATATATATATATATATATATATATATATATATATATATATATATATATATATATATATATATATATATCAGCATTGTTATCAATTGACAAAATATAAAAAGACAAAAAAACAAGTACACAACAAAATAAACTAAACAATGTTACATTACATTTTTTTTTAAATCTTAAGAAACTTATTATTTCTTTTCCTGAAAAAAAAATGTTGTATGTGTAAATCCTACTCCCCCTACTTACTCCCTCCTCTGACCGATGCTGCTGGCCGACGTCAATGGCTTTACATGTCAAAGTTCTGCGGTGGGTGGGGTGAATATACATGTGTTTAAATTCTGTTGTTATACAGCTGGTCTTAATACCTAAATGCATTTTACTTGAATGTCAAGATTATGTCTCTTTTGCTCATATTTTTATGTACAGCGTGGTGAGCTAATCCCTAGGCTGGGGTATCGCTCAATATAAGACAACTAATAATAATGATTATAATAATAACAGTACTTATTAAAAAAGTGCACACACATAAGATGGTAGGTGTACGTGACTAAACCGATGAAAGTGTATGTGCATGAACTAATGAAAGTGTACGTGCACGAACTAATGAAATTGTACGTGCGTGAACTAATGAAAATGTACAAGCATGAACTAATGAAAGTGTACATTCATGAACTAATGAAAGTGTACGTGCATGAACTAATGAAAGTGTACGTGCATGAACTAATGAAAATGTACATGCATGAACTAATGAAAGTGTGCATGCATGAACTAATGAAAAAGTACCTTCATGACCTAATGAAAGTGTACATGCATGAACTAATGAAAGTGTACATGCATAAACTAATGAAAGTGTACGTGCATGAACTAATGAAAGTGTACATGCATGAACTAATGAAAGTGTAAGTGCATGACCTAATGAAAGTGTACATGCATGAACTAATGAAAGTGTACGTGCATGACCTAATAAAAGTGTACATACATGACCTAATAAAAGTGCACGTGCATGACATAATGAAAGTGTACGTGCAATAACTAATGAAAGTGTACATGCATGAACTAATGAAAGTGTACGTGCATCAAAAAATGAAAGTGTACGTGCATGCGATAATGAAAGTGTACGTGCATAAGTTAATGAAAAATTAAGTGCATGAACTAATGAAAGTGTACAACAAGGCACCTGATATCTTAATGGGTTTCTGTTGTAGATTTCGGTAAAATTACATCTTACTTGGAATTACATCATGTGACTAGCAATGTGACGCGTGTGAGAAGTGTACCCCACACACGTCCAGAGGACAACAGGATTTGGAGTATCACAGTCGTGGGTAAGCTCAGACATCACATTTGTGACAATGTTCATGTATAATAGTTGTTGCTATGATCATATATCACTGTGGTGGGTGAGTTCATATATCACAGTCGTGGGTAAGCTCAGATATCACATTTGTGACAATGTTCATGTATAATAGTTGTTGCTATGATCATATATCACAGTGGTGGGTAAGCTCAGACATCGCATTTGTGACAATGTTCATGTATAATAGTTGTTGCTATGATCATATATCACAGTCGTGGGTAAGCTCAGACAACACATTTGTGACAATGTTCATGTATAATAGTTGTTGCTATGATCATATATCACAGTCGTTGGTAAGCTCAGACATCACATTTGTGACAATGTTCATGTATAATAGTTGTTGCTATGATCATATATCACAGTGGTGGGTGAGTTCATATATCAATGTCGTGGGTAAGCTCAGACATCACATTTGTGACAATGTTCATGTATAATAGTTGTTGCTATGATAATATATCACAGTGGTGGGTGAGTTCATATATCACAGTCGTGGGTAAGCTCAGACATTCCATTTGTGACAATGTTCATGTATAATAGTTGTTGCTATGATCATATATCACAGTGGTGGGTGAGTTCATATATCACAGTAGTGGGTGAGTTCATATATCACAGTGGTGGGTGAGTTCATATATCACAGTCGTTGGTAAGCTCAGACATCACATTTGTGACAATGTTCATGTATAATAGTTGTTGCTATGATCATATAAAACAGTGGTGGGTGAGTTCATATATCACAGTCGTGGGGTAGCTCACACATCACATTTGTGACGATGTTCATGTATAATTGTTGCTGCTATGATCATATATCACAGTGGTGGGTGAGTTCATTTATCACAGTTGTTGGTAAGCACACACATCACATTTGTGACGATGTTCATGTATAATGGTTGTTGCTATGATCATATATTATGACATTGGTGGGTGAGTTCATATATCACAGTTGTTGGTAAGCTCAGACATCACATTTGTGACAATGTTCATGTATAATAGTTGTTGCTCTGATCATATATCACAGTGGTGGGTGAGTTCATATATCACAATCGTGGGTAAGCTCAGACATCACATTTGTGACAATGTTCATGTATAATAGTTGTTGCTATGATCATATATCACAGTGGTGAGTGAGTTCATATATCACAGTGGTGGGTGAGTTCATATATCACAGTCGTGGGTAAGCTCAAACATCACATTTGTGACGATTTTCATGTATAATAGTTGTTGCTATGATCATATATCACAGTGGTGGGTGAGTTCATATATCACAGTCGTGGGTAAGCTCAAACATCACATTTGTGACGATTTTCATGTATAATAGTTGTTGCTATGATCATATATCACAGTGGTGGGTGAGTTCATATATCACAGTCGGTGGTAAGCTCAGACATAACATTTGTGACAATGTTCATGCATAATAGTTGTTGCTATGATCATATATCACAGTGGTGAGTGAGTTCATATATCACAGTGGTGGGTGAGTTCATATATAACAGTGGTGGGTGAGTTCATATATCACAGTCGTTGGTAAGCTCAGACATCAAATTTGTGACAATGTTCATGTATAATAGTTGTTGCTATGATCATATAAAACAGTGGTGGATGAGTTCATATATCACAGACATTGGTAAGCTCAGACATCACATTTGTGACAATGTTCATGTATAATAGTTGTTGCTATGATCATATATCACAGTGGTGGGTGAGTTCATATATCACAGTCGTGGGTAAGCTCAAACATCACATTTGTGACGATTTTCATGTATAATAGTTGTTGCTATGATCATATATCACAGTGGTGGGTGAGTTCATATATCACAGTCGTGGGTAAGCTCAGACATCACATTTGTGACAATTTTCATGTATAATAGTTGTTGCTATGATCATATATCACAGTGGTGGGTGAGTTCATATATCACAGTCGTGGGTAAGCTCAGACATCACATTTGTGACAATGTTCATGTATAATAGTTGTTGCTATGATCATATATCACAGTGGTGGGTGAGTTCATATATCACAGTAGTGGGTGAGTTCATATATCACAGTGGTGGGTGAGTTCATATATCACAGTCGTTGGTAAGCTCAGACATCACATTTGTGACAATGTTCATGTATAATAGTTGTTGCTATGATCATATAAAACAGTGGTGGGTGAGTTCATATATCACAGTCGTGGGGTAGCTCACACATCACATTTGTGACGATGTTCATGTATAATAGTTGTTGCTATGATCATATAAAACAGTGGTGGATGAGTTCATATATCACAGACATTGGTAAGCTCAGACATCACATTTGTGACAATGTTCATGTATAATAGTTGTTGCTATGATCATATATCACAGTGGTGGGTAAGCTCAGACATCACATTTGTGACAATGTTAAGCTATAATAGTTGTTGCTATGATCATATATCACAGTCGTGGGTAAGCTGAGACATCTTTTTTGTAACAATGTTCATGTATAATAGTTGTTGCTATGATCATATATCACAGTCGTGTGTAAGCTCAGACATCTTATTTGTAACAATGTTCATGTATAATAGTTGTTGCTATGATCATATATCACAGTCGTTTGTAAGCTCAGACATCACATTTGTGACAATGTTCATGTATAATAGTTGTTGCTATGATCATATATCACAGTGGTGGGTGAGTTCATATATCAATGTCGTTGGTAAGCTCAGACATCACGTTTGTGACAATTTTCATGTATAATAGTTGTTGCTATGATCATATATCACAGTGGTGGTTGAATTCAATATCACAGTGGTGGGTGAGTTCATATATCACAGTGGTGGGTGAGTTCATATATCACAGTCGTTGGTAAGCTCAGACATCACATTTGTTACAATGTTCATGTATAATAGTTATTGCTATGATCATATATCACAGTGGTGGGTGAGTTCGTATATCACAGTGTTGGGTGAGTTCATATATCACAGTGGTGGGTGAGGTCATATATCACAGTGGTGGGTGAGTTCATATATCACAGTGGTTGATGAGTTCATATATCACAGTCGTGGGTGAGTTCATATATCACAGTGGTGGGTGAGTTCATATATCACAGTGGTGGGTGAGTTCGTATATCACAGTGGTGGGTGATTTCATATATATTACAGTGCTGGGTGAGTTCATATATCACAGTGGTGGGTGAGTTCATATATCAAAGTGGTGGGTGAGTTCATATATCACAGTGGTGGGTGAGTTCATATAACACAGTGGTGGGTGAGTTCATATATCACAGTGGTGGGTGAGTTCATATATCACAGTGGTTGGTGAGTTCATATATCACAGTGGTGGGTGAGTTCATATAGGACAGTGGTGTGTGAGTTCATATATCACAGTGGTGGGTGAGATCGTATATCACAGTGGTGGGTGAGTTCATATATCACAGTGCTGGGTGAGTTCATATAACGCAGTGGTGGGTTAGTGCATATATCACAGTCGTGTGTAAATTCACACATCACTTTTGTAACTATGTTTATATATCATATACGTGGCTATGTTCATAAATCAAAGTTTAGAATGTGCTCATGTTTCATAGTCTTTGCTATGTTCATAGAAGCACAGTCGTGGCTATGTTCTTATATCAATGTCTTGGCTATGGCGAAGTCGTGTTGATTTATACACTAATAATACTGGGGTCATTGGACATACGAGAATTGAATGCTAAAAATAGTTGCTAAATCTAAATGAAATTTTTTAGTCAAATGGACAGCATCAATGACGAAGGGACAGTTTACATTTCAAGGGGACGATATTTCTGTCTTTATGATTCGGCAATGTTAGTGGGATGTGATATTAATTGGGAATTTAAATATATTAGCTAAACATTTTCGGCACATGCAAAGATAGACAGCATGCTACATGTTCAAAAGAAGTTTAGACTATCACAAGATAGACAGCATGCTACATGTTCAAAAGAAGTTTAGACTATCACATGATAGACAGCATGCTACATATTCAAAAGAAGTTTAGACTATCACAAGATAGACAGCATGCTACATGTTCAAAAGAAGTTTAGACTATCACAAGATAGACAGCATGCTGCATGTTCAAAAGAAGTTTAGACTATCACAAGATAGACAGCATGCTACATGTTCAAAAGAAGTTTAGACTATCACAAGATAGACAGCATGCTGCATGTTCAAAAGAAGTTTAGACTATCACAAGATAGACAGCATGCTACATGTTCAAAAGAAGTTTAGACTATCACAAGATAGACAGCATGCTGCATGTTCAAAAGAAGTTTAGACTATCACAAGATAGACAGCATGCTACATGTTCAAAAGAAGTTTAGACTATCACAAGATAGACAGCATGCTACATGTTCAAAAGAAGTTTAGACTATCACGCGTCATACATCAAGATATACAATAGTCAATGAAACATTTAGTGTCACAAACATTAGTTTTGTTTCCATGTATTCTTGACCCGATGATTTCACCTTTCAGCTCCAGTTTGTAATCGATCAGATTTACATTTCTAAGCCGCATGAATTCAATTAATTACTTAAAGTAAAATGCACTACGTGTAAGTGTGTAATTTTTTAATCAAATGAAAAGATTTACTGGGGACTGTTTTGAACTATTCTACACAAAAATCTCATGTCAGTGCATTTCTCAAGTTACAGTTTATCCAGGACAATGCTGATTAAGATTTCAAAATAATATCCATCGCAGTGTCAACAGGTGCGGAAAAATCCCTGATGGTAACCTCTCCCCCCGCCAATCGATGATGGATTTCTTCGTGTTAAAATAAATCCACTTGATAATAATGAACAGAACAAAAACAAATTAATTGAGAGTCAGGAGGTTCATGTAATTAAGAACTTTAACATTTATTTTGAATCGCCATAACATAATATTATTTGCTTTCAAAGTTTCTTGTCACTTACGAAGGCTACCGAAGACTTCAATCCGCGTTGAGTCATGGTCAAAACGATGTTTTTTGTGACCTAGCCTTAGGGTCACCAAATTTCTGAACTTTTAAGCTTTGACTTTTAATAAGCCACGTCTTTGGATTTGTCACGTGTGAGGAAACTTTAAGAAGGTTTCTTTATGCTTTGATGAACTACGGTGAGACCGAGCAGTGTTTTCTCTGTCAAAATGATTTCTTTCAAGTTGGAATCCCCGATGAAACGGTATCTCACAGTGTTGTCCGCAGCCCACTTTCGGCACACACTAGTTACGCCACTGCGACATGATATGTACATGTCATCTGGATTCTACCTGGCTGTTGTTACATTTATTTGTCTTGGTAAAATCTTTCACTTCATTCATCGCTTGAGGTTCTGTAGACACCAGACAAAGTGATTGCTTAGACACCAATCTATGTGAGTGTATAGACACCAGTCTATGTGATTGTATAGACACCAGTCTATGTGTATGGACGCCACTCTATGTGTTTAGACACCAGTCTAAGTGTATAGACACCAGCATATTTGTATAGACACCAGTCTATGTGTTTAGACATCACTCTATGTGTATAGACACCAGTCTATGTGTATAGACACCAGTCTATTTGTATAGACACACGTCTATGTGTATATACACCATTCTATGTGTATAGACACCAGTCTATGTGTATAGACACCAGTCTATGTGTATAGACACATGTCTATGTATATAGACACAAGTCTATGTGTCTAGACACCAGTCGAAGAGATTTTATAGACACACATCTAGGTGATTGAATGGACACATATATAAGTGAATGTAATGACACCAATCTAAGTGATTGAATTGACAAAACAATCCAAGTGATTGCATAGGCATCAATCTAAGTGATTGGATGGACACCAATCTAAGTTTTTGTATAGACACCTATCTAAGCGATTGTACTTAACCAATCTAAGTGATTGTTTGGACACCAATCCGAGTGATTTGATGGACACAATGCTAAGAGACTGGATGGGGAATAATCTAAGTTATTCGATTAATATAAATCTAAGTGATTGAATGGGCACCAATGTAAGTGATTGAATGGGCACCAATCTAAGTGATTGAATGGGCACCAATGTAAGTCTTTGGATTGACAACAATCTAAGTGATTGGATGAAAACCTGTATAAGTGGATTTTATTTAACCAATCAAAGGGTTTGGTTTTACACAAATGTAAATGCATTGATTGACCACTATCTGTAGTCACCAATTGATTGTATAGTCACCAATTTAAGTGATTGTATAGACACAGATCTATGATATTGTCTTACACCAATCTAAATGATTGGATTGACACCAATTAAAGTGATTGAATTGACAGCAATCCGAGTGATTTAATCGTTACCAAACTAAGCGATTGTATGGTTACCGATTCAAGTGATTGTATTGAACGAATCTAAGTGACTGGATGCACAAATCTAAATGATTGTAAGGCAACCAAACTGAATTATTGGATGGACACCAATCGAATTGATTGGGTAAACTAAATTTTAAGTGATTGTATAAAATTCAATCTAAGTGAGTTGATGGATACCAGTTTAGTCGATTGGACTGACAGTATCTAAGTTATTGTATGGACACAAGTCTAAGTTATTGTATGGACACAAGTCTAAGTTATTGTATGGACACAAGTCTAAGTTATTGAAAGGACACAAGTCTAAGTTATTGTATGGACACAAGTCTAAGTTATTGTATGGACACCAATTTAAGTGATTGGATTGGCGCAAATCTTAGTGATTGTATATAACCAATCTAAGTGAGTGGATATACATAAATATAAATGATTAGATTGACACCAATCTAAGTAACTGTATTGAGACCCTTCTAAAGTTTTTGTATAGACGCATATGTATGTGATTGTATTCAACCAATTTAAGTGTTTGGATCGACACCAATCTTATTGAATTAATTGACACGATTGTATAGTTAACTATCTAAATGATTGTATAAACACATATATTAGTGATGGTATTTAACCAATCAAAGTTATTGGATGAACCACAAACTAAATGATTGGATGAACCCCAAACTAAATGATTGGATGAACCCGAAAATAAATGATTGGATGAACCCCAAACTAAATGATTGGAAGAACCCTCAAACTAAATGATTGGATGAACCCCAAACTAAATGATTGGATGAACCCCAAACTAAATGATTGGATGAACCCCAAACTAAATGATTGGATGAACCCCAAACTAAATGATTGGATGAACCCATAACTAAATGATTGGATGAACCCCAAACTAAATGATTTGATGAACCCCAAAATTAATGATTGAATGAACCCCAAACTAAGTGATTGGATGGACACACATCTAAGTGATTGGATGGACACACATCTAAGTGATTGGATGGACACACATCTAAGTGATTGGATGGACACATATCTAAGTGATTGGATGGACACACATCTAAGTGATTGGATGGACACATATCTAAGTGATTGGACGGACACATATCTAAGTGATTGGATGGACACATATCTAAGTGATTGGATGGACACATATCTAAGTGATTGGATGGACACATATCTAAGTGATTGGATGGACACATATCTAAGTGATTGGATGGACACATATCTAAGTGATTGGATGGACACATATCTAAGTGATTGGATGGACACATATCTAAGTGATTGGATGGACACATATCTAAGTGATTGGACGGACACATATCTAAGTGATTGGATGGACACATATCTAAGTGATTGGATGGACACATATCTAAGTGATTGGATGGACACATATCTAAGTGATTGGATGGACACATATCTAAGTGATTGGATGGACACATATCTAAGTTATTGGATGGACTTATATCTAAGGGATTGTATGGACACATATCTAAGTGATTGGATGGACACATATCTAAGTGATTGGATGGACACACATCTAAGTGATTGGACCGACACATATCTAAGTGATTGGAGGGACACATATTTAAGTGATTGGATGGACACATATCTAAGTGATTGGATGGACACATATCTAAGTGATTGGACGGACACATATCTAAGTGATTGGATGGACACATATCTAAGTGATTGGATGGACACATATCTAAGTGATTGGATGGACACATATCTAAGTGATTGGATGGACACATATCTAAGTGATTGGATGGACACATATCTAAGTGATTGGATGGACACATATCTAAGTGATTGGATGGACACATATCTAAGTGATTGGATGGACACATATCTAAGTGATTGGATGGACACATATCTAAGTGATTGGATGGACACATATCTAAGTGATTGGATGGACACATATCTAAGTGATTGGATGGACACATATCTAAGTGATTGGATGGACACATATCTAAGTGATTGGATGGACACATATCTAAGTGATTGGATGGACACATATCTAAGTGATTGGATGGACACATATCTAAGTGATTGGATGGACACATATCTAAGTGATTGGATGGACACATATCTAAGTGATTGGATGGACACATATCTAAGTGATTGGATGGACACATATCTAAGTGATTGGATGGACACATATCTAAGTGATTGGATGGACACATATCTAAGTGATTGGATGGACACATATCTAAGTGATTGGATGGACACATATCTAAGTGATTGGATGGACACATATCTAAGTGATTGGATGGACACATATCTAAGTGATTGGATGGACACATATCTAAGTGATTGGATGGACACATATATAAGTGATTGGATGGACACATATCTAAGTGATTGGACGGACACATATCTAAGTGATTGGATGGACACATATCTAAGTGATTGGATGGACACATATCTAAGTGATTGGACGGACACATCTAAGTGATTGGATGGACACATATCTAAGTGATAGGATGGACACACATCTAAGTGATTTGATGGACACACATCTAAGTGATTGGATGGACACACATCTAAGTGATTGGACGGACACATATCTAAGTGATTGGATGGACACACATCTAAGTGATTGGATGGACACATATCTAAGTGATTGGATGGACACACATCTAAGTGATTGGATGGACACACATCTAAGTGATTGGATGGACACACATCTAAGTGATTGGATGGACACATATCTAAGTGATTGGATGGACACACATCTAAGTGATTGGATGGACACATATCTAAGTGATTGGATGGACACACATCTAAGTGATTGGATGGACACATATCTAAGTGATTGGATGGACACACATCTAAGTGATTGGATGGACACACATCTAAGTGATTGGATGGACACATATCTAAGTGATTGGATGGACACATATCTAAGTTATTGGATGGACACACATCTAAGTGATTGGACGGACACATATCTAAGTGATTGGATGGACACACATCTAAGTGATTGGATGGACACACATCTAAGTGATTGGATGGACACACATCTAAGTGATTGCATGGACACATATCTAAGTGATTGGATGGACACATATCTAAGTTATTGGATGGACACACATCTAAGTGATTGGACGGACACATATCTAAGTGCTTGGACGGACACATATCTAAGTGATTGTATTGAACCAATCTAAATTATTAACTTGACACCAATCCATGTGATTGGATTGACACCAATTTAAGTGATTGGATTGACACCAGTCTAAATGATTGGTTGGACATCAAATACAATGAATGTATAGTCACCAAATTAAGTGATTGCATAGAGGCAACTAAAAGTTATTGTATTAAAACAATCTAAATGATTGGAACAACACCATTCAAAGTGTTTGCCTTTACTCAAATCTAATTGATTCACACCAATCTTTGTGAGTTAAACGACACCAATCTAATCGATTGTATAGTTACTAATCTAAGTGATTGGATAGAGACCTATCTAAGTGATTTGATTAACATCAATATAATTTATCGACAGGACATCAATTGAAGTGAATGGATGAAAACCAATGTAAGTCAACTGATGGACAGCAATCGAAGTGATTGGATGGGCACCAATTTATTTGGATTGTCACCCATCAAAGTTATTGAATAGACACCTATCTAAGTGTTTGTATTTAATAAATCAAAATGATTTGATTTAAACCAATATAAATGCTTGGATTAACACCTTTCTAAGTGATTGGATGGACACCAATTGAAGGGTTTGGATAGACACCAGTTTAAGTGATTGGATGGACATCAATAAAAATGATTGTATAGTCACCAATTTAAGTAATTGTCTAGACTCATATCTAAGTGATTGTATTGAACCAATAAAAAAATCAGATGGATACCAATCTGACTGACTGGATTGACACCAATTTAAGTCATTGAATAGACACCAATCTAGGCAATTAGATGAACACCAATGTAAGTATTTGAAATATATATATCTAAGTGATTGGGTGAACTCAATTCTAATTGAATGAATGGATACAAATCTAAGTGATTGAAATGACACCAATCTAAGTGATTGGATGGACACCAATCTAAGTGATTGGATGGACACCAATCTAAGTGATTGAAATGACACCAATCTAAGTGATTGGATGGACACCAATCTAAGTGATTGAAATGACACCAATCTAAGTGATTGAAATGACACCAATCTAAGTGATTGGATGGACACCAATCTAAGTGATTGAAAGGACAATAATCTAAGTGATTGAATGGACTTCAATCTAAGTTATTGAATCGACATCAATCTAATTGATTGGATGGACACCAATGGACATGATTTCAAGGAAGGTTTATTCAAATAAAAGAAGATGATTGAAATCTAATCAGTGTTTGTATGAAAGTTTGTATCACTTATTTGTCTTCTGACCTATGGACCATTCAAAGATAGGCACTCAGTTTTACTGGGATAAGTCCATATTTGATGCGCATCGCATCCTTGATTTAAATCGTTATATTATAGAATTTTTATAAGTCATGCCTAGAGTTATATATAATTATTGCTTTATATAAAGGGACCAACTTAAAAATAGACAGACTATTTCAAGGCAGCCCTTGAAAATTGGGGGCTGTTTAGTATTGTTTAATAATTGTTAAAACAATGAATCAGCTGATAGAGTCCATCAAAGATGACGTTACAGAATCTGTTTGATTGGACATTGATTTATAATAAGTCCATGTCATTTAACATCATCTTCAAAATACTAAGTCCATCTCAAGTAACATCCTCTACATACCACTAAGTCCGTCTCAAGTAACATCCTCTACATATCACTAAGTCCATCTCAAGTAACATTCTCTACATACCACTAAGTCCGTCTCATGTAACATCCTCTACATACCACTAAGTCCACCTCAAGTAACATCCTCTACATACCACTAAGTCCGTCTCATGTAACATCCTCTACATACCACTAAGTCCATCTCAAGTAACATCCTCTACATACCACTAAGTCCATCTCAAGTAACATCCTCTACATACCACTAAGTCCGTCTCAAGTAACATCCTCTACATACCACTAAGTCCATCTCAAGTAACATCCTCTACATACCACTAAGTCCGTCTCATGTAACATCCTCCACAGTCGAACCATCAAGGCCACAGTGTACGTGGGTGACTATAGGAATCATCTTCACCCTGACTTGCACAGTGACTCTCAACCCTGGAGGCATCTGTACCCTTCATGAATATAATGTACGTCAGTACAAATTGTAGTTAAGTATGTTCAATGGAATGGAAAATAATCAAATAATTAGAGACTTTATTAGACAGTATATTGGGGAGCATATTAGTGAGTATATTGGAGAGTACATTGGAGAGCATATTGGACAGCATATTGGAAAGCATATTGGAGAGCATATTAGAGATTATATCAGAGTGTATATAAAAGAGTATATTATATAATATATTAGAGAGTATATTTAAGAGTATATTTGAGAGTTTCTTAGAGTGCATATCAGAGATTATATTAGAGACTATATATGAAAGATTATTATTATACTAAAATGTTGACATGTAAGTTGTTTTTTCTTAATATTATCTAGTTTAATAATTTTCCCTGGAGGTTTCATAAAAAATGTCCAACTCTGAAAGTGTGTAGTTGTTCTCCTTTGATTAAACTTTAAATTTATCTTGATCAGATCTGTTCACTCTTTAACCTCTTAAAATCGCACAATATCATCACAAAATCGTTAAATACATTATCGTAATAGTAAAAAATAAACATACAGTATATATAATGTATAATTCTCAAAATCGTACATTGTACGCCAAAATCTTAAGAGTAAACAGGTCTGCTGCATCCATTAGGCACAGAAACTAGAAACCACTAAACTATTATTATCTTCTCTCTTATGATATACACAGTTGGACTCAGGACCAGGGCTGTGGACCTTTGACGTGACGTATACACACACAACATATAAGACGCAAGGGCTGACACACACCACTTGTGTCTTTCATGGAAAGATCATCTTCCCATCAAGTCAACACCTCCGTCTCACGGTCTCTGTAGCCCCTAATGTAACAAATTACGGCTACCTCAAATCAATGTCAACTCCCATTGACGTCTACGTTAACAGTGAGTCTCGCCTCAAGACTTCAGAACAATAGTATTTAACAAATACACTTATAGTTAGTGGATTAGCCAGGGTTGGTGTCACATGGTGTGATAAAAACATGGTGTAACCCTCCCCCCCCCCCCCCCCCCCCAGGATTGATTTCCTCGTGTTAAAATAAGTTCACAGTATAAGAATGACATGAAAAAAAAATAATCATTGAAGGTCAGGCGTTTAATTTATTTAAGAACATTAACATGTACTTAGAATCACCCGACCACATCGCATTTGAAATTAAGTAGAAAGTTTTATTTTCAGAATTTAGATAAATATAGCTTCCTGTTACGACAGTTGCCGAAAAATTCAATCGGCTTTGAATCATTGTCAAACCAGCGTTTTTCTGACTTGTTATAGGGTCACCTCATTTCTGACGCATCCGCCTTGAACTTTTAATAAAGCACGCATGTGCTTTGGTTACATGTGTGGATAAGTTATGTATCATTGGTTATCGTTTCATGAATTTTTTTTTTAATTTTTTTTTTTTTTGGGGGGGGGGGGGTGTGCAAGCAGTGTGTGCTCTGTAAAATTGCAATTTTTTATTTTGCGTCATTCCTGAGATGGTGTCACCCGTTACGGTCAGCATTCCCGCACCCCACTAGCTACGCCCGTGCTTGTAGCAATATTTATAAGCTACTTTTAACTCTTTGATATTTAAACTACTTTATGTATATATTTCTGGCCTATTTGTGTAACCAATGAAGGTTTAATCTATACAATTATAAAAGGATGGCCCCGTGTTTCATGGATCGTTTCAAGTTTCCAGATTTTCTAATGAGCACTGTGGATTTAAATTGTATAGTTTCTGAAAGGAGCCAACACTCAACGTTTTATACAGTATGACGTCTAGATGGTATTAGTGGAGCAGAGGCATGTTGTCTTGAACGCATAAGCACGTTGATCAGCAGTGCATAGTGCCAGTCGTAAAAATGTATAAGTGTTAGGTAGTAGTTGGAAATGGGTCTTTCGTTGGTATATTATACAAATCCTAGAAAAGATAAGATTCATTTATTGATCCAAATAAATGGATATGTTTTGTGATTGCATTATACATTTTCAGCACAAAAATAAAACAATTTGAACACAATACATTTATAATAAATTATTTCAAACAGCTATTCAGTGAGTTCTCTTAGCAAAATCGGGGACTTATTAGATCTCATTCAAATGTGTGACATTCCGAGGAAGCACGCCGGTAAATTCCTACAGATTTGGGAACAAAGGAATTTTTATATTTATCAGTCCTCGCCCTGATGGAAAGAATTCGTCCCGAACGGCCCGATCCTAAGCATCTGTGATGAAGAGGGTGAGATGTATCATCCAAAATGTATTTAGTTTTGCAAAAACATCTTTCTTCAAATAGTTCTTCAAGTGAAGGATGTTTAGTTTATGTTATGTTCCTAACTTTCTTGAATAGTCGGTTTATGCGGTGTTTAATATCAGACGTTGAATTCCCACACCAGCAGGTAATACTGAAATTAAGCAGGCTTCCAATAGTTGCACTGTAGAATAAGTTAACGACTTGCTTGTTTACCCCAAAATTGTACAGTTTTTTGAGGTAGAACAGTCTTTGGTTGAATTTGTTATACAGCATTTGGCCGTGCTCATGCCATGATAGCTAATTATTAATTGTGACACCTAAATACTTGTATGCCTCCACTTTCTCCACATTTCGATTTTTTAAGTTGAGATATAAAACCACAAGAGTTGAACTTAGGATTATGTCAAGTTGATACAGATTTATTTAATAAAACGGTGGTTTTCTGTTCCAGATCCAACCACAAGTTATGATCACGTGATTTATACAACTAGGCGCTACACGCACGGTAAGACACATTTGTAGTGGTTGCTACTAGCAGGGTAAGACATATTTGTAATGGTTGCTACTAGCAGGGTAGACATATTTGTGACGGTGGTAATGGCACTGAAAGACACATATCTAGTGCCTGCTACAAGCATGGTAAGACATTTTTAATGGCTGCTTCTAGCAGGGTAAAACATTTATGTAATATTCTGCTACTAGCCTGGTAAGACATATTTATAACCGTTTTTTCTAACTGGGTGAGACATATTTCTGGTGGCTTCTACTAGCAGGGTGAGACGTATTTCTAATGGCTACTACTAGCAGTATTTATGTCGTAATCAGGTTTTCCATGCTCTAACTACGAAAATATTCGATTAATTAATAAAGAATCTTGCTTCTCAGAAATTCAGCTTTTGCGGTAGACTCTGGAACGAATTAACCGCGATAAACACGGGTGTACTGTATACCATTGAACTGTATTATCTAATATTAACGGAATTGACATGATGAAATCTTCCTTTAAAAGTGAACCAAACTTTTGCCTTTGTTGCCTACTTTTATTTTGGAAAATCATAAAACAAAGAATTCTTATCTAAAGATCAATCTCTTAACCGTTTTTCATGTTTGTAATATAATTGAGTGTCTGTTTTACAGAAATGTTATCAATGTCATAAAAAATTTCCAGCAGTAGAACCTATTCTTTTCACAAGTAAAAATCATTTTTTGAACCAATCTTTGTTTACACCCATAACTATAAATAAAATGAAATTAAATGAGATTAAATTTTCACCTGTGTAAAAAAAATTTTTTTTTTAAATGTATGGCTAAATTATATAAATGTATCCCCGAATATATATGAAACCAAGAAGGTTAATTATTTATAAAATTCATTCCTTTATTCTGAGACGAATCTGGTGTCGCCTTTGGTATCAAAATATAAATAATTAATTAGTTTTAAGGTAGAAATAAGTAAATATTATTTACATATTTTATAAAAGTACTGCTACATTAAAAAAAAATAATTAACATGAGTAAGAGCTCACATATTAACATAATGAATTGTTTCGCATAATGTATTGTTTCCACAATTCTGTATCAAAAGGAAGTTCGATATATTTATATGTGATGTGTAGACGTACAAGTGGAAAAAGACGTGAAAAAGATTTTAAGTAAAGAAGGCGCTTGCCGTGATCTATGTACATCTTATAACATCGTGATAGTTGTCCCACAAATCTGAGTGAGCCATTATATATATCTATATATATATGAAGTACAAGGATGACGATAATTATGTTTTCTCCAAACAGGAGCTTTATTTTATATTGTGAGACGTGAAATATTCTGTGAATGAACATAATGATTCCAGATAGGGTATTCAGCCTCATGTTTTAATAAAAAGATAATTATCATAGTCATAATGAGGAACGCTGGATAAGCAAATACAAGAAGGATTACAACATTAGACAATACTCATAATGATATCACATAGACGTTACAATTGTACTTCGTTGTTACAATATGTCTTACATTATCCTCAATTATATATAATAAAATTTAAAACAAAAGTAATTGTTGACCCTTGAAAACCATACATTTGATTTAACATTACACGCTCATTAAAAGAACTCGTATATACTGAAAGACTGATAATAAGTTGATTTTAGCAGAAAGGTCAATAATTAGCCACTAGAAAATATCACAGGATCACTTAACATTTGCCCATTCGATATAATTTAAACGATTTGTTTTTTATTGAATACCACAGAGTTAATTTAAAATTGACGCTTGAGCAATCAGAATTTTGTACTAAAACAAGTACGGAGAAAATGTCATTGGCGTGATAATCGAAATGTTAGTTCACAAAAATGTTACCATTTTTTTTTTTGCTTGATTCTCATGTAGAAATATGTATATTTTTGTAAGCTGTGCCAATAGATGGGACAGTTTGTTTTTAATTCTATTCAAAAGCGAAACGCGTTTGAGAATTTAATAAACACTGGTTATTTTTAAACGCTAAATTATTCTGGAAATTTTCTGACAAAAGCAACACATTTGAAGAAAATAAACACATTGGAAACATTCACTATGTGACCGTTAAATTCTTTTACAAGTATGTATTTTTTAAAAAGTTTTTCTTTTGTCTTGCTAAACATACATGGAATAGAGTATATTTAATATTATATTAAAATCTTTAAAAAAAAAACCATAAAGCCATAACAGAATGTATAGATCACACCTATCCATATTTTTAAACTCCTTCTTTTATAAATAAATATAGTTTGAAAATAGATTTCATGCGACTGATCGTTCAGAAGAAATGTATTCAATATATAGAACGTTGTATTGATTTAAGTTTAGTTTAATACAGTGCACTTAAAGTTTTAAAACTGGTCAAGGTGCAAAAAAAAAAAAAAAAATCATTAAAAACATTATGCATCCAAACTGCGTGGAGAAAAGCTGGAGCGACCCGAACGATATTTAGAACCGAATGCTATAGCCTCTAACAGATTTGCTTTAAATACACGGAGCATCAAATATATCGAGCGTAGCGATATTTGATCGATTCCACTAAATGTAATCGGTTAAAAGGCAAGAATTACTCTGCTTTTAAAACTTTTTACAAAATAAAAAGATTTCAAATAATTTTAATGTACATACATGTTCACTCTAGTGCTGTACACAGTTTGCTCCGGGGGGTAGTAGACCACGACCGGGGGCTGGGGTAGTAGACTTGCTCCGGGGGTACTATACATGCTTCCGGGGAGGGGCTTTTGACTTGCACTGCACGTGTAACCCCCCCCCCCCCCAGAGATGCTCGAAAGAAAACCTTCTTCTGGTGATGTTAGAGTTATTTGCCTTATTTCATTTAGATGTTGTGTTAATTATGTATATTATTTGATATAAGTGGTGTGAATTATGTATATCATTTCTTTCAGTTGATTATTCCGACGATCAGTGGGAAAGATGGAAAATAATGGCAGTTATATTTGGAGTTGTTGGTGGAGTCTTCATACTAGGTCTATTAATAGCCTGCTGCTTTAGAAGACGAAAGAATTCTCAAAGATCAGCTGTGCCTGTTTCGGTTCAGTTTCGTAGGGACCGTTCTGTTGCGCAAGTGAACTTACCAAGTATCGATACTGTGGACGGGTTAATATATTACAGAAACCGACAAATGAGTGATAGTCCGCCACCCTACAATTCCGTAGTCGATTCCAATAATGAAATATCAACTTGGTCCAATGCTGTAGCGGCAAATAATAACACTGGTAAGGAATATTTTTATGTTTTAACTAATACTTCGTTTGTATCAGTGAGTTCTTATTAAGTGCTCGATTTTGTCAAGATTTTCCATAGAGTATGAGCTTAAGTTGACCAATATCCTAGAACTACCAAAAAAATAACTAGTTATCACACCTTCTTGCAAATATCCAATTAACCCTTACCCTACCCGGAAATAACCGAACTCCAACTAGCCAACCCCAACTAGCCAACCCCAAATAGCCAACATCAACTAGACTACCACATTTAGCCAGCACTAACTAGCCAACATCAACTAGACTACCACATTTAGCCAACCCCAACTAGCCAACATCAACTAGACTACCACATTTAGCCAGCACTAACTAGCCAACATCAACTAGACTACCACATTTAGCCAGCACTAACTAGCCCACATCAACTAGACTACCACATTTAGCCAGCACTAACTAGCCCACATCAACTAGACTACCACATTTAGCCAGCACTAACTAGCCCACATCAACTAGACTACCACATTTAGCCAGCACTAACTAGCCCACATCAACTAGACTACCACATTTAGCCAACCCCAATATGGCAAACTATAACTAGACAACCCAACTAACCAGCACAACTAGCTAGCTGTCCAACCCCAACTAGCCAACCCCAAATAGCCAACATCAACTAGACAACCCAACTAACCAGCACAACTAGCTAGCTGTCCAACCCCAAATAGCCAACATCAACTAGACAACCGAACTAACCAGCACAACTAGCTAGCTGTCGACCCCAAATAAACAACCCCAAGGAGCCAACCCCAAATTAGCCAACCCCAAATTAGCCAACCCCAAATCAGCGAATTCAATCTAATCAACCTCCGCCTACTCAACCTCCTACAAGCTCAGACACTCTGAAGCAAAGCTTGAACAATTCTTTGAATGATATGACAGTTGATATTGACGGTGTGCATGGTATTTTGTACACACATACCAGCTCGTGACGCTGTGAGAGTCTTTAGACTATAAATAAACCTTCTGTGCTTTTTTCTTTTTTAAACGCAATGTTATGACCATTTCCATCAACTGAAAATTTAAACTTACAATGTGAAGGTAATTTGACACGGTACTCAAAGAGATGGACCATAATAACTAGTTGTTTAGTAATAATAGTTTTTTGTCTATTTCAGAGGTAGAAGAACCCCCACCACCCTATCCAGGCAAATAAACAAAAGCTCGAGTTTGTCATGGTTCATTTGGCCATCTCTTCATGCGTGACCTGTGAGAGTCAAGCTGATCTTGTTACTAGATAACTATATATGATGCGAGATCAAGAGAGAACCCGCCCACACACACACACACACCCACACATACCCACACACACCCACACGCACACGCACACACACACGCAAACAAACACAAACACACACAGCCCATCCAAAATAACCAGATTGTCAACAACGATATCACTGTGCTATAACCAAACAATTTATTGAAACCTCAACACTTTCATCATCCTCTTCTACTCTACACATTTTCAATAGTGACGTTGACAAACCTTCCTGCTATATTCTTCCAAACATTCACAAAGTAGGCAACCCTGGACGACCTATTGTGTCAGCCTGCTCATGTCCTACGGAAAACATTTAAGAATTTGTATTTGATGTTTTTTAAACTCTATTGTAACCGCTTCACACACTTACATTAAGGACGACAGCCACGCTTTAAACACATTTGATTCCCTGACACAAAAGACTTAGTGTTTTTACTTGATATCTTCTCCTTACACACATCTATGCGACATACGGACGGTCTTAATTAAGGATTGGAGATTTTTCCTTCAGTGCAAAACACATCTATCCATCCCTACTGACCCCATTATTTGACTTGCTGAACTGGTACTCATCCTTAACTCTTTTGAATTCAATGGTCATATAACTGAACAAATTAGTGTCATGGCCATGGATACAAAATGGGCCCTATGTATGCCTGCCTTTTTTGGTCATTGCAAATATATGCGGGAAAGAAGGCATATACTGGTCGTATTATGTGGGAAAGGAGGCACATACTGGCCGTATGATCTAATTTGATAAGAGATGCCTTGATTTGGCATTGGCATCAATGTCATGGAAACTAATGAATTCCGAAAATTATGGATTCTCTAAACTTTAAAGTTACTTCCCAAAACTCTTGGTATTCTGTCACCTTTCTTGATATTACCCTAATCTTAAAAGATAACAGATTATTCACAACTGTCTATTTCTAAGCAACTGACAGCCACAGTTATTTATTATATTTATCCTTCCACTCAAAATCATGCATAGACTCCATCAAAATTTCTCAACTTCTGAGAATGCATCAACTATGCAAATTTAGAGAAAGGCTCTTTAGTTATGGCTGATGAAATGATGGACTTCTTCTGCTCCAGAGGCTGGCCTTATTTTGTCCCTCATTCGTATCACCTTATCACACTCGGTGGGCCTTTCAATCTTTTCAAACAAAAATAAGGGTTTAACAAAAAACATCCTTACCTACCACCATCACAAAACTCATCTTTACATACCACTCTCACAAACTCTTCCTTACCTACCACCATCACAAAACTCATCTTTACCTAGCCCCCACAAAAACGTCCTTACCTACCACCATCACAAAACTAATCTTTACCTAGCCCCCACAAAAACGTCCTTACCTACCACCATTACAAAACTCATCTCTACCTAGCCCCCACAAAAACGTCCTTACCTACCACCATCACAAAACTCATCTTTACCTAGCCCCCACAAAAACGTCCTTACCTACCACCATCACAAACTCATCCTTACCTACCACCATCACAAAACTCATCCTTACCTACCACCATCACAAAACTCATCTCTACCTAGCCCCCACAAAAATGTCCTTACCTACCACCATCAAAAACTCATCCTTACCTACCACCATCGCAAAACTCATCTCTACCTAGCCCCCACAAAAACGTCCTTACCTACCACCATCACAAAACTCATCTTTACCTAGCCCCCACAAAAACGTCCTTACCTACCACCATCACAAAACTCATCTTTACCTAGCCCCCACAAAAACGTCCTTACCTACCACCATTACAAAACTCATCTCTACCTAGCCCCCACAAAAACGTCCTTACCTACCACCATCACAAAACTCATCTTTAACTAGCCCCCACAAAAACGTCCTTACCTACCACCATCACAAATTCATCCTTACCTACCACCATCACAAACTCATCCTTACCTACCACCATCACAAAACTCATCTCTACCTAGCCCCCACAAAAACGTCCTTACCTACCACCATCACAAACTCATCCTTACCTACCACCATCACAAAACTCATCTTTACATACCACTCTCACAAACTCTTCCTTACCTACCACCATCACAAACTCATCTTTACCTAGCCCCCACAAAAACGTCCTTACCTACCACCATCACAAAACTCATCTCTACCTAGCCCCCACAAAAACGTCCTTACCTACCACCATCACAAAACTCATCTTTACCTAGCCCCCACAAAAACGTCCTTACCTACCACCATCAAAAACTCATCCTTACCTACCACCATCGCAAAACTCATCTCTACCTAGCCCCCACAAAAACGTCCTTACCTACCACCATCACAAACTCATCCTTACCTACCACCATCACAAAACTCATCTCTACCTAGCCCCCACAAAAACGTCCTTACCTACCACCATCACAAAACTCATCTTTACCTAGCCCTAACAAAAACGTCCTTACCTACCACCATCACAAAACTCATCTTTACCTAGCCCCCACAAAAACGTCCTTACCTACCACCATCACAAAACTCATCTTTACCTAGCCCTAACAAAAACGTCCTTACCTACCACCATCACAAAACTCATCTCTACCTTGCCCCCACAAAAACGTCCTTACCTACCACCCTCAAAAAAGTATCTTTACCTACCACCCTAAAAACTCATTCTTACTTACCACCATCACAAAACTCATCCTTACCTAACACCATCACAAAACACATCTTTACCTACCACCTTCACATATCTCATTCTTACTTACCACCCTCACAAACTCATCCTTACCTACCAGCCTCACTAAACTCATCTTTACCTACCACCCGCACAATCTCATCCTTACTTACAACCCTCCACAACTCATCCTCACCTGCCATCCTAAAAACGCATCCTTACCTACAACCCTCACAATGTTATTGTTACCCACCCCCCCCATACACAATGTTATTGTTACCCACCCCCATACACAATGTTATTGTTACCCTCCCCCACACACATACACAATGTTATTGCAACAAAAGTGTTATCAAAGAAAAGTAATACTTAATGCTGACCCCAACACCAATAGCATATATTCGTCGCCTTCATTTAATTTCTTCAGACGGGAAAATTGTTTCTGATGACCTTCTGGTTCACAGTCGCCTTCTAGCTGACCGGTCTTAAGCTGGGACTAACCCATGCTCAAGAAGCCGATGTAAGACTTGCCCCTAAGACTGTTAACATAAAGAATAGCTGTCCTGAGAGAAATGCCCACATCAAAGTGGGCCTCACATGTATAAGTGGCAATGTGATATATGTGATTGATGGCTATACATGCTCGTTGTATAGATGAAACGGGAGGAAGATTAACTGATAGTTTCAGTGATCATCTCCGCAACATTTAAAAGGCCAACTATCTCCGGTCTCGGCACATTTCAACCGGAGAGAACACATATTATGTTTCCATCACTGAACTGATTTTCTGTAATGGTATACCATCGAGAGTGAAAGATGAAAAGTAGTTAATTCAGATTTTCGGCACCATATCGCCTTATGGAATCAACCAAATACTCCTTCATTCATGGTCCTCAAAGTAACTGTATTTCTTTTGTATTTATAAGGTTTAAAATATTTGTAATACATTTTTTGAGAGTTAAAAACTTTTTATATTAATGATACAAACATTTTGTTTACTTCTTGCAATCTTTTGGATAGTTGCAGTTGTAATTTGGATAGTTACACATTTTTCTTTTGTAATTTGGGTAGTTACAAATGCTTTAGTTGTAATTTGGACAGTTACACATTTTTCTTTTGTAATTTGGATAGTTACACATGTTTTAGTCGTAATTTGCTTAGTTACACATTTTTCACTTGTAATGTGGATCGTTACACATGTCTTAGTTGCAGTGTGGCTAGTTACACATTTTTCACTTGTAATGTGGATCGTTACACATGTCTTAGTTGCAGTGTTGTTAGTTACATATGTTTCAGTTGTATTTTCCATAGGTGCAAACATTTCCGATGTTATTTTTGATAGTCACACATGTTTTAAGGGTTTATTTGAACTGTTACACATGTTTCAGTTATAATCTGGACGGTTGCATATGTTTCAGTTATAATCTGGACGGTTACATATGTTTCAGTTATAATCTGCACGGTTACATATGTTTCAGTTATAATCTGGACGGTTACATATGTTTCAGTTATAATCTGGACGGTTACATATGTTTCAGTTATAATCTGGACGGTTACATATGTTTCAGTTATAATCTGGACGGTTACATATGTTTCAGTTATAATCTGGACGGTTACATATGTTTCAGTTATAATATGGACGGTTAAATATGTTTCAGTTATAATCTGGACGGTTACATATGTTTCAGTTATAATCTGGACGGTTACATATGTTTCAGTTATAATCTGGACGGTTACATATGTTTCAGTTATAATCTGGACGGTTACAAATGTTTTAGTTGCAGTGTGGATAGTTACACATGTTTAATGGTAATTTGAATTGTTAGGCCTCTTTCAGTTATAATTTGGACAGTTACACATGTTTCAGTTTCAATTTGGATATCAACATATGGTTTAGTTGTAATTTAATTCGTTACACATGTTTCAGTTGTAATTTGGACAGTGACACATGATTTTGTTGTAATTTGGAGTGTTACACATGTTTGAATTTCAAGCTTTCAAACTCATTTCTATTTTATTTATTTTTTCTTATCTGTTGAGGACGTCTTTTAGCCGAGACGCTGTCCTTTTATTGTCTTTTCTTTGTTATTTCAAGCCTTAACATTCCTTAATCCAGCATTGCATTCATAGAGCATGAAAGCGGCCCTTCAGTTATTGTACATGAGCTGTTCATTGATTATTTAGGGTTCAGTGTTCATGGTTTTGAATCTAAGATCACAGTTGATAGATTGGCAACTTAGTTGAATGTGACTCTAAGTATGGTCATTGCCAAGAAACGCAGTCTCTGAACAGTATAGGAATTGAGTAAATAATAATGTCAACTCAGTAAATGTTAATGTAAACTCAGTAAATGTTAATGTCAACTCAGTAAATGTTAATGTCAACTCAGTAAATGTTAATGTGAGCTGAGTAAATGTTAATGTCAACTCAGTAAATGTTAATGTCAACTCAGTAAATGTTAATGTGAACTGAGTAAATGTTAATGTGAACTGAGTAAATGTTCATGTGAACTGAGTAAATGTTAATGTGAACTGAGTAAATGTTAATGTGAACTGAGTAAATGTTCATGTCAACTCAGTAAATGTTAATGTGAACTGAGTAAATGTTAATGTCAACTCAGTAAATGTTAATGTCAACTCAGTAAATGTTAATGTGAACTGAGTAAATGTTAATGTGAACTGAGTAAATGTTAATGTCAACTCAGTAAATTTTAATGTCAACTCAATAAATGTTATTGTGAACTCAATAAATGTTATTGTGAACTGAGTAAATGTTATTGTGAACTCATTAAATGTTATTGTGAACTCAGTAAATGTTTATATAAACCCAGTAAAAGTTTATCTGAACTCAGTTATTGTTAAGATGAACTCAGTTAATGTTAAGATGAACTCAGTTAATGTTAAGATGAACTCAGTTAATGTTAAGATGAACTCAGTTAATGTTAAGATGAACTCAGTTTTTGTTAAAATGAACTCAGTTAATGTTAAGATGAACTCAGTTAATGTTAAGATGAACTCAGTAATTTTTAAATTGAGCTCAGTAAATGTTTAAATCCATCCCTGTGGTGATACAGTCCATCTAGGGCTTTGGCCTGCCTCACCACTTCCTTCCACTAAGACTAATGCTTTTCTTTTCCATGCTTGGATTCCTAGTTGATGTAGATCTTTTTCCACATGATCCATCCATCTAAGCCTAGGTCTGCCTTTGAGCCGTTTTCCTCTGGGGTTTGGGGATGCACCCTCTTCACTCTTCTGTCATTTGGCATTCTCTCTGACTGTGTTGCCAAGCGTAGCCGGCCATTTATATTTCTGCTACTGTCGTGGAATCCTGATATAGGTTTTTCAGTTCATTGTTGGTTCCTATTTTTTATCAATAATCATTCTTTGCTGGTCCATTTACTTTTCTGAGATCTTTTCTCTCCCATTTGTTTCATAGGTTTTCTGCCATTTTTGCTAGGGTCCAAGTTTCACTTGCATGTGATACAACTGGTTTGATTATAGATGAATTATAGATATTTTTTGTTGACTTTGTACCGCGCTTCGAGCCTTTGGGGATGAAGCGTGTTTTTGAAATGAACTTTATTATTATTATTATTACAGTTTTTTAAATGATTGTTTTTTGTGAACTCAGTAAATTTTTATGTGAACTTAGTAAATGATTATGTGAACCCAGTAAATGTTTATGTAAATTCGGTAAATGATTTTGTGAACTCAGTAAATGTTTATGTGAACTCAGTAAATGTTTATGTGAATTCAGAAAATATTTATATAAACTCATTAAATGTTTATATGAACTTATTAAATTTTTATGTGTACTCTACAAATGTTAATATGAACTCAGTGACAATAAAGTTAATCGTTGATATCATCAATTTCATTCGCGTCACTAGATTCCTTGTTGAG